TTCAAAGTATATGAATCACCAGATGAAGTTAAAATATTAATAAAAATTAATGTATTTCTTTTTAATATCAAATTTATTTTAATAATTTAACATATTACAAAAACAGAATTTAACGAAATAAATTATTGATGGTAATTCGGAGTGAATCCATTTTAAATTTACTACTTTAATAAAAATTATTTTTTAAAAATAATCAATTTAAAATGTATTGTTTACTTAACATTGAAAACTATTAAATAAGTAAAATCAAAAAATAATAAAATTGCTATTTATAAAAATATCAATTTAAAGTCAAAAATATGGAAATGAAAAAACAGGCAAGCAAATCGAACACCTTTGCTTTAAAAACTTTTGTTGTTTTTCGTAAGACAATTTCATGACTTTACTTGAGACGTATTTACTACAGTCGTTTTCAATGTACCTCTCATAATACTCAAATACAAAATGTCTGATTTTTTGAGCAAAATCATTTCACAGCTTGTCTCCCATTTATTTACATACCTCTTTTCAAGCTCTTGTGGCATCTCAAAATATTTATTTCTGATTTTTTGAAGTGAAACAAAAACTTTAATGATATAGTCAAATAATTTAAGCATAGATTTGGTTTGTTAATAATAGACACATAATGTGAAAGTGTTTATTATGACATTAACACCATTTAACTTTTAGCTATAAATTTAAACATCATTTAAAAAACACCTTATATGCACATATTAACACCTTAATTTACATCGAACAGAATTCAAGTTTTCTATAAATTAGTAAATACTGAATTTATTAAATAAATTTCCATTTTTAAAAAATATCTTATTTTCATAACATTACACAAGCAAAAAGTGTAATAATATTTGAAAAAAAAGACTAAATAAACCAATTAAAGATGCTTTTGATATTTTTCTATGCTACAACAAATTTTTCAAAATATACCCCTTCGCAAAACTACAGTGAGTATTGACATAATATTAATGTTTTAAATTTGTTATAAATAATTATTAATACTTTCTATAACAATTGGTAAAGTTAATAAGAGTTACGACTTTTTGAAACAATTAACTGTAAAAATGTGATTTATTCGTTGGTTTTGATACATGTAATACATATATATCTAAATATTTTAAATTATTATACCAATAAAACAAGTATAATAATACTGTCATTGGGGTTGTTATAAATTTTTGAGTACTCTTTTATCAAGAAATGTATTTTCTACAAATAGTTGAAATAAAAACAACTTTCTTGGTTTTTAAAAACTCAAAAAGACTTTCAAATTCACCACATCGTTTTAGTACACATTCATAAAATATTTTTTGTCTTCAAAGTGATTATGATTAAGGCGTTTGAATTACTGTACATTGAAAAGTATGATAATAATATAAATGATAAACACAACAAAAAATTAAAACAGGATTTTATCTTTGTGCAACGAATTGTGATTCTCAATGTGAAAAAAACAGTTTCAACGATAAATAGGAATGAATTTGCTTATAAAGAAAAATGGTCACTATATAAAAACAATTATAATATAACAGCACGCGTTTTCGAAATATTCAACACAAAAATAAATGAATTAAAAAATTAGAAGTTTTTCGTATAATTTTAGCAACAAGAAAAGAACAGACAAAAATATAAGTAGTTCAATTTTTTTACTAAAATACATACAAATAATTGTTTTTGGTGTACCAATTTTAATAATTTGTTTCAATTTAATAAAACGAGTTGTGATTCATTACACGTTGTTTTAATGATGAAAAAAAAAACAAAACAAACTGAAATTTTAAATCATACTAACAAATGATACACATGTTATTTATTTCAACAATGTAAATGTAAAAAAATATAAATATTTTCATTATAATAATACAAAGTTGGCCAAGATAAAAATATAATTCAACCCTTAAGATATTTCATTTACTTTTTAATATATATATATATTTAACCTGGTCCTCTATTTAAATAGTTAAAATTAGTTGATGCAAAAAAATATTTCAAATCAATAAAACTATTGTGAACAAATTAAACACAATTTGTATAAATATCAGTAAAATGTTAATATTATACATTAACTTTTTAAATTATTTGTTATTAAAAACAAAATGTAACAGCTGAATTATTTCATTAATTATGTTGAATCACCGTGTTTGATGGGAAACAATAATTACCAACTGATGTCACATTGGATGATATAGAAACACTGCTGAGATTATTACATTCATGAAAACAATAATAACCAATTGATGTCACACTCAATGGTATTGTAACACTGCTCAGACTGCTGCAATAACTGAAACACTGATGACCAATAGATTTCACACTTAATGGCAAATCTACACTGCTCAGACTATCACATCCATAAAAACAACTATTACTAATAATTGTGACATTTGAATGTATTGTTACATTTCTTAAACCACAACAATGACTGAAACAACCGATACCAATGTATGTGACATTTGATGGTATTGTCATACTGCTTAGATTACTACATCCACTGAAACACCAATCATTATATGATGTTACACCTAATGGTATAGTGATACTATTCAAACTGCTGCACCCGTTGAAACAGTTTTTACTGAATGATGTTACACTATATGGTATTGCAATACTGCCAAGACTACTGCATTCACTAAAACAACTCTCACAAAATAATAACACATTGGATGTTATTGTAACACTGCTGAGACTTGCACATCCATAGAAACAATAATTACCAATCGACGTCACACTTGATGGTATTGTAACACTTCTCAGACTGCATAAATAACTGAAACAATCATCACCAATCGATGTCACACCAAATGGTATGACATTTCCAAATTTATGTCTATCATTTTTTGTGAAAGTAACATTTTTAAATTTAATGTTTCGACTTTTGTTTGTGTTAACAGTTTTGAAATCAACAGCAAACCACACAATGATACAAAAGAACTCTTTTGTTAAAACACATTTATTTTTATCTTTGTACTCTTCATTTTGTTTTTTATTTTCACTATCTTCATTAAATATAACACAGAAAGGAAATCTATTGCCAAAGTTCTCATCTTCTTTATTCCACAAGTGAAGTGTTTCGATGTTTGGGAAGTGTACAATTGTTTTGGAATTTAAAGGAATTGGATTGAAGTGAAACTTTACCATATTATCACCAAACTTCTTGCAGACAAACTCCAAATTGATAAAGTCTTTAATCGTTTCAAAGTATTTTGAGACTATCATAACGTGATAGCCAGTAAGTTGAGACATTTTGATATTCATTTTTTTTCGTTGTTCAAATAATTCCAAAACAATTTAAATTTTGTTCAAAATTAAAAATTGTTTTGGAATTATTAAAGATAGCGGAAAAACGAGAGACAAAATCATTAACCAGAAACCAGACAAAATTGAGTTGTTTTATTATCAGTATAAAGTTTTCTTGTCAGAGAAAAATCCACAAATAATCGGGGTTCTAGAGGATATGTTGGTTTATTTAAAAAATAGTAACAAAGCATTAATAACAGTGTTTTTTTAAATAAAACAAATAAACTATAAATAATTAAAACTCTTAATTAATTATTTTAATCTGCCTCTATTGTTAATGCCCAGCCGAGCCAAAGAAAAGTTTGTTCTTTATATTGATTTATCTCTTATTATATTTTATTAATAAATTAGCATTTTATATTGTCTTATTGTTTTTATTAAAACGACCTTCGAGATTGTCACGACCCAAGTAATCTTAAAATCTTTTGGGTCGAATTAATTATTTTTTTTGTAAATCGGCATTTTACTTTCCACTTTACCAAATAACAAAAATATATTTTTCAAAATTTCACAATTTTTTTTCTGAATTTACACATTGTTGAATTGATTATATAATCACTATTAACCTTAACAGATCGTGTTATCAATTTTTATAACAAAGTTATCTACTCAACCAAACGTTCAAATAAACAAAAAAATCAAATACAGTAAAAATTCTATCGGTGTGGAGTCATGAAAATGGTTTTCTTAAAATGTGTAATTTTTTTTCTTTTCTTTTTTAATTTCTGGCAAAAAAACTAAAAAATAATGAAATTTGTAAAACTATCCACAATCAAGAAAAATGACAAAATATATTTTTTGTTTTTTTGAGAAAAAAACGTAACACGTGTATACATAAAATAATATTGTGAATTTTTTTTTAAATCGTTTAATTGTTTAGAATAAGAACAACGCATTGCGTTTTTGTATAAAAACGTGGACTTTTGGTGCGGATTCTTGTCAATTTACAACTCGAGTGTACCTTGATAAATGCTTCAATTGCTTCTTTGCCTTTTGTTGATAACCTTGAAAAAAATTGCTTGTTCACTGTGTTATTACACGGTAGCATAAGGTGAGTGTCGATTTTTAGCCTCAAAAGTCATCATCTTGTCGTCCTCCGCCTTGAACTTCTTTGCGTCTGCAACCATCTTGTCCACTTGTGCCTTTGAGACTCTTCTTTCCTGTTGTCTCGTTTTCAGCCGACACATTTAATATCCCATTTGCATTTGTGTCAAATGTGACTTCAACTGTGAGACTCTATGTGGTGCTAATAAGATACCAAACAACCCAAACTTTCCAAGCATGTTGCAATGTGATGTCATAGATGCCTCGCCCTCAAAAACTTGGATGAGCACGCCTGGCTGGTTGTCTGCATGTGTCGTAAATATCTATGAATTCCTTGCTGAAATTGTTAAGTTTTGTGGTATCAATTCTGTCATCACACCAATCACAAGCGTGCTCTTGTGATTGGTGTGAAAGTCGGTGCATTTTTATTATCATTTAAAGTTTAATATTTTTTGAAGAGCATTTTCTGCTTTTCTTCTCTTATCTTTTTTGAATTTATTTTTGTTTGATAATTTTTCTCTTTTTAAGTTTTTATTACCAAGTCTTTACTCTTTTAAAATAATAACAAATTTGCAGTTGACATTATTTTTAAGGGTTTTGGTGCCAAATATGTGGGAAATCATAATATTCTATCGGTGTGTAGGCCACTTTTGATTGGTCAAAACCACACACCGATAGAGTCACACACGGATGGAATCACACACCGATAGAATTTCTACTGTATACAACAGTGTTGATACTATAATAATTCTCAAATTAAATATCCACTTAAATAATAGTTGTTTATAACATTGATTTTATTGATTGTAAATAAAAACTTTTTGTGCAATGACTATGTCATGTCATCAACAACAACTTCTCCGATATCTCTTGATGTACATAATGTTTGGTTGATACAAACACAACCTTGAAAAATACCACGTCGATTTGTAAATATAATTGTAGACCAGTCTGACAAAGAATTAAAATAATCTTTCAGTTGTTAGGCTTGACACAATTGGTTGTCTTTTCTATCTTTGTGTAATAATGATGACATCACTTTACTTGAAAAAAATAGTCCAAACTCATCTTTAATATTGTCTGGAGATAAACCAAGCTTAAATCTGTCTTTCATCCTTTTCATTTCTTCTTGTATGAAAAATGGGTTGACATTATCTGGGAAATAATCAAATGTATGCGAATGAAGATGGTGAAAAGTAATTTGAACCACATGGGATTTTAGTTTTGAAAGTGACATTACTAATCTACATTTACAACCTCTGTAAACGCATTTGAAAAACTGATTCGAACTGTTTGTATGACTGTTTGCATTTGTGAATAAAGAAATTCACCACCAATGATCGTAAATACTGATGCTTCTTTCATTTTCTGCTTTAGTTTCGAATGATATTTTTGATGCTT